TAGATTTAAAAATATGTCAAAAAAGAAACTTTCTTGCAGAAATCCATACCTTCAGCTGTAACTGCTCTGGGGTTCCTCGCGTCCAAAAAAGGACACCCAAAGAAAATGCTATAAAATCATCATATATCAATATTTTTTTCTGCTTTTTTTTTGCATACATCTCTTAAACCACTTCAGTTCTGCTCAAACCTACCAAATGTTTATTAGTTTTCAGGATTTTAACCCTTTAAATGCCAGTTTAAAGACATGTTGCCTCTTGTTTTATTAAAAAAAAAACAACACAGAATATGAGATATTTCCCACATACTACATGATGGAGGGATGTGACATTGTTTTATATCAGTCTTTTATATCAAGACATTTCTCAAAACCAGAATATGATCAGGGTGACTTTTGAACACTGGAAATAACACTGGAAATAAATCTACTCATCCTGGCAGTAGCCCCCGTGGCACTCAATATTTCCCTGGAATTTTCTAGTTGTTCATTGTTTCTTTTTATTCTTCTTTTCTAAGTTTGCATTCTGATAATACAGCAAAAATAACAAACACATTTAAAAAACGTAAAACAAACAGTAAAATACACCGTGGATGTTTGACCCTTCAGTATAAAGGACTCTATTTTTGGTGAAACCGAAACCTATAGCTTATCATAAACCACGTGATACTCCAGAGGAAAAAAAAAAAGAAAACAGAAGAAACGACAGAAGCCTGGATACGAAGTTCCAGCGGAAACTGCCGAGCGGAGTCGACACACGGTCCAGAGCTTCGTCGTCACACCTACCAACACTAACACCTGGTAACTAGTTTATTTGATAAACGGTAATAATTATGAATTGTAGGTTCCTTTGTCGGTTCATGAACTCCTCTTGGCTTTATAGCGGGCTCAGTAAAAACCTGTGGTAGGTGATGCAGCCAGACTCATTTCTCAACAGCTGACGCAGTGAAATATTTTAGTTACTTCGTGTTATTAACTAGATTTATAGAAGATACTGTAGGTTGTCGGTGCATTTATTACTCACTTCTGTTTCTACGCGATATTTTACGGTAATGATGTTTAAATAACGTTATCATGCTGAACAGTCGTCTCGGTTTGTGTTGGTTGGTTTCGTTTTCAAATATAAGATTCATCGTTGTGCTTTCGTTTTTAAAGTATCGGATAAATACATTAGGAGAGAGTTCTGTAATGCATATAATAAACGCTAATGGAATTTATCAATTTGTAATAGGTTTATCAGTTTAGCACTATTGTTGAATTTAAGTGGAGTTGGAAAATAACGGGCTTTTTCTCAAGTACGTGACGACAAATTTTTGTTTTTTTTATACTGTTACTCCGCCATTATTATTTTTTATCACACTTTTCAGCATAACATTTATCTGGTGGCTTGACAAAAAGTAGTTTGAGTCAGTTAACATTAGGTGAGAGACAAATAATTGATTGAATATATTGGGTTATATTTTGTAGAGATAATTAATTTTTTCCAAAAGAACATTAGAAATATTTATACAACACTTTTACATTTCTACTTAAATTAAGGATTTGTAGTTTTTGCATCACTGCTGTAATGACATTTGTTTTTTCCTAGGTGACAGAGAGCCAGGATGGCTGGAGTGAGGTACCTGCAAACACCATTTTCTCTTTGTTCAGAGAGGTGGAAATGAACACTGACATATCAAAAGATACATGTGGACGCATGTTCACTTGAGGACATGTGCTGACAGAGATCAGAAGGCAATCATTTATAGGCACCACACATAGTGAAAAAAATTTAACCCAACAAACTCCAATAAATTCTGGAGGATCACAAATCGGCAGTCATAGTTTGTTCAACAGCAAACAGAGAAAAACTGTCTCGCTTATATTGGTGAAATTCTGACTAAAAATGGACATATATAATCCACAAGACAGCAGTTCTGTCCTTTGAAATAACAATTAGGCAGTTGTTTCATGAGTATTTTTTGTTTGATTGTGAAATAAATAAGAATCCACTCAGACGTCAAAGTTTTAAAGGTCCCATATTTTACACTTTTACAGTTTATTTGAAGAGTAGATATTGATAAGAAGATATATTTGTGGTTTTAAGTACCAAAAATCAGCTCATTGTAGTTTCACATCTCCTCTCTCAGGCTTCTTTCTGGAGTTCTAGCCACAACAGGTTGGTCAGCCAATCAGAAGAGAGGAGGCTCTGAGCCTCTCCTCCGATTGGTGGACTGTTTTGTTATCGAGTAAAAATACAGCAGAGTAATCAGTCAGGTAAACACACAAAAGGATGGATGGTTGGTCCAGGTGGGCCGTGCCTGGGGCCTGGCTGAGGGCAGTGACTGTTTTGTTGTGACATCACAAAGTTTCGGAAGTCCTAACGGCTTGTTTTAAGGCTCAGTTTCTGAATATGAGCTGTTTGCATTTCTCTGTGGACTGAGCGCTTTGATACTTTCACAGTATTTATATGAACCTAGATCTACTTTATAATGAAAAAAAAGACATGGACATCTCACTTCATACAATATGGGACCTTTAATTTCCTAGTATACCTCATGAGTGAATGGCTAAATTGATCCCAGCCTCTATTCTGCCATTTGTAAATGGACATTTTGTAACGTACCATGTTCAGTGTCACCATTTTGTAACTTCCTGTCTTTTCTGTCTTTCAGTGTGGCCAGTCACCCTTTTATGCCTGATTTTCAGCAGTGCAGTGGAGCAGAAGGTTGACTACACATCTTTCCCTTACACACCATGATATCTTTGTTGTTTAGTCCTTCACATATTTCTACATATTTTTCATCTTTTGTTGCAGGTCCAGATTACCTGGCACAGGTGTCCCACTTTGTGTCCGCAAATAAACACAAGACGATAAAATTAAAGAATCCAGCCGATGCCATATTGAAGGTAGCAGGGGTTGAAGACACCATTTACAGAGGCAAACATGATGAGGTGAACGGGTGGGGAAAATTCTACCTTCCCAAGATGGTAAACATGCAGGTTATAGGTGTAGTAGAGGGCACCTCATGCACGTGTGACCAGCTTGTTCTGATGACCTGTGAGGACAAAAAGCTGTACGCCTACGATGGAGAGGAGCTGCATCTGGTGGCTTCAAGCCTGCAGCGGTTATGTGACAAGGAAATAGAGTATCCAGCATCCAAGAGCTACTACAACGGGGAGGCCTTCGAAGATACGGTAAGAAGTTACAGTCATTTACAAGGAATCCTGATGATAGTGATTGATCACCTGTGCTGACAAGTCTTTTTTTAATGTGATGTAGACTGAGGAGGACTGGGAAAAGGTGAGGATGGGCCCTGTGGGGAGGAGTTTGGAGCAAGAACATCAAAAACTGGTGAAAAAAAACAAGTCGGCATTCTTGGCAAGTCTCAAAGGAGCAGGACACAAATAGGTGGGGTTTTGTCCTGACATTGTCTTTGATGCAGGGTGAATGTTTAAGGGAATAATGACTTGAACTTGAGCCACTCACAAATCGTTCAGCATTGATAATGGTCTGGACTTTAAATATCACCGTTGCCTGCTGGGAGGTAGAAACATAATTATTCATGCAGAGTTGTCAGATATATCATGGGTTGATCATGGAGTACCTGATATATGTTTTATAATCACTTGGCTTATTTATTTATTTATTACAGATCCTGGTGGTTCCCAAAAGGAAAGACGTGCTTCAGAAGTCTTCAGTCTTCATCATTCATCATTTTAAAGGCAGTCAGCTGAAATCATTATAATCGAAATCATGCACAGCTGTGTGTTCATGAAATGCTTGTGATCGTTCCCCCTCAGGCATCGCATACTAGGCGAGGCTGGTTGTGTAATCTGATCTCTGTGTTTTCCATCCTAGAAGCGCCATTTTGTTTCGTCAGTTGATAGAAGTTGCAAAATCTAGCGGAAATTGACAAAGTTGTGACACAGTAACTTTTGCCACTGTAGCTACGGATGGAGTCCGACATCAACAGTAACAAATTTCATGTAAGCCTGTCTCCACATGTACCAGGGGAGAGTCAGTACGCCAGGGCCAGGTAACCAGGCCATCACAGGGCTAAACATAGCCAACCATAGTTACAGACTGTAATTGAACCGAATGTGTATTTCTGTTGACTATGGCAGAGAGCGAGAGAACACTGACTACAAGGAGAACAAGAAAACACCACCCTGAAAAGCCCCGACTCCACCCTCATGAAACCAAATAATATAATAATATATATATAGAGAGAGATAATACTGGCTTAATCATGTAGTAAAGTTTCAGTTCCTGCTGTTTAGCAACTTACTTCCTTATTTTGTGCTGTCATTTGTAGACTCACGGTGAATTGTGCTGACATACAGTAAATGATTAAACTACACAGTTGAGATCTCTTCGTGTTTGTGTCCTTTTTCCTCTTGTACAAATCCTTTCATTTCATTCTACTCTACAGTTTAGCATCTGACCTTTGACCTTACATGAAACTGTAATACTGCAGCAGAGACTAAATAGTAATGAGCGTATGATGACTGAAGTAGAATTAACTTTATCTAAATCACATTCCTTGTCTGTGTGACTTTAAAATACATTGATATAATAATGCAACACATAACTATCATATAAATATGCCACTCAGTGAGTTTATATCGATCATGTTGAGGTTGATATGATGTCTCCAGGATGTGTGGAGATATCCATACATTTTCTTATAGAGTTACTGTATAACAGGATCAACATAGGAGGCCTGTTGTCACAAATACCGGAGTGAGATTTAAGAACTTCAGTTATGCTGTACATGACGTTGCACCGGGACAAATGGAGCAGTTTATTTTCTATAGCAGAGTAGACCTTGATTCTGGATATGGACATATACAGTACACGTTATCAGTCATGTTATGACCCTCACTGACTTTGTACTGGGTTAAATGCCTATCCCTGGTGCCTGACTGAGTGTGGACTTTACTGGAAATCACATGATGAATCTGTTTAAGGCGCAGCTTTATAAGGAAGGGTTTTACTTTCTCTTTCATTCTTACGCTGCAGCAATGGTGAGTAGCAGCTTTCTGCTGGCACTGACACTATATCCAATGAATTCTGCACTGCAATCCTCAATATATTTCTGATATCTGTGATATATTTAATTGTTTAATTGTTGTTTTTTCCCCTGATGACTGAAGGAAGAGCAAAAGAGGTGAGTCAGCTGATTCTGTTGCACCGCAGTTTATCAGTGCTGTAATTTGTTTTTAACTCTTTAAAATGACACTATACCTTGATCATTATTATTGTAGAAAAGAAGAATTTCTGAAAACTCAAGAACCTTTTAGGAGAAATGCCTTAAAGCTTATCAAGCAGATGCTGGATTGGTGTAACATGACTCCAGGAAGTAAACACTTAGTGGATGAGGTAGAGTAAAGTGGATGTTTTCTGTTTTTGAAGACAATCATGTCCTATAATCTCATTAGTAATTATGTAATAATACATTGATTTGTTTTACTGAACAGATGCTTCACAGCATCTTCTTCCTGGGAAAAATCAACAAGGTTCCCTACGACCCCGAAAGTATAATCGCTGACAAAGAGATGTTGGAAGACTTGCAGGGGAAATACCCTCGCCCTTTTAAGTTCTTCTTGACTCAACTTCCCAAGCGGAGTCCATTCTCCTGTGTTATGGACATGGTAAGATGTAGTATGGATCGACTTTCAATGAGTTAATCAAACCTTATTTGTAGTGCACCGTTTACAGGTACAGATACAGGTAAGTATAATATAAAGTGCTTTATAGAGACTGAAGACAAATACTATGAGTAGAAAAAATTAAGCAAGACTGTAAACATGAATACATTAAAATAAATTATTCAACAAAATTTAAATAATGACCATAAAACATTCCAGTAAAGAAGAGTCAAATTTTTGGATAATTGATTTTATTAATCAATTTTCACCTGTTGCTGAAATTCAAAGTAATTAATTCACAAATGTTTTGAACCAAAGACATCAGTTCATGATTAATTTCTATTGTTCATTTTTACTAATGAATCAGTGAGTCGCAGTTTGCAGGTGCAACATCTTGATAACATCTGTAACTGCTTCCAGATTGTCAAGCAGAAAGGAGAAGAGAATGACAACCAAATAATACAGAGCCTGAAAGATCTCCTCAACGGTCTGGAAGTAGGGTTTCTGGTCTCCTCCACCATCTGTGTCTCTCAGAAATCCAAAAATGTAAAATCAGTCAGGTACTACGGCGTCTCCATGTCCACTACTGGTCCAAATGCTGGGAATATTGTGATAGCTGCCTCCTGTTTGAGCGCTTGGGATGATTATGTAGCTGATGCAGTGATTACCTATTATCCAGAGAAGGGCAAGAAGGACAAGGTCAAGAAGGAATACTTTGATGGAACAATCAAGGTTCCAGGGGAGGTCATATGCAAAGCATTTAACCTCAGCAAAGGAGATGAAATTCCTCCTTGTAGATCTTGTGGGAATTTGTTTGGTTTGGCCACAACTGTAAAAAAGGAGTGGGTCTATGGCCACTGTGCCGAGGTTGAGAGCCTGAGCAACATGCTTAAAAATGAGGCAGAAGTTAAAAGGGATACAAAACAAGAATCTGCCACATGCACACCTCCGAACAGGAAGAAAGCTAAGGACAGTGTCCTTGTCAAACTAAACTCTGTGCTAAGTACGATTCAATTTAAAACATGGAAAGATCAGCAGTTCTACGACCCACTGGTTGAATAGTTTTGAAGAGGGAGGAATATGCAAGTAAAAAGGCCGTGATCTTTTATCATAAAGTGGTATAGTCTCTCTGTTTTTCATCCTTAAAAGATACTCCACTGTTACACAACGGGGATGACATTACTGTCAACGCAACATGCTTTATTATCTCAAATTATTAATGCTCCAGCTACATGCGATGTGCACTCTTGTACTTACTACTTACATGAAGAACATGTCAAAAAATTGTAAGCTAAATGTGTGTCAGCATTTTGAACGAAACAAATGGATGATTCAAAAATTGTGTTGATCATGTTGATGTCAATAAAATCATAACTAATTAAATGATGATTCATTACTTTAGATAGTAGCAGTTGGGATGTATGTGCGTGTGAGACCAGATATGAAGCATTGTGAGACAGCAGCTTGGTTAGGTGGAAGGATTCACACATCCATTCCCAGGATGGATAGTAATAAAATAAAAACAAACAGGAGTTTTTAATTTGGCTTTTACGATCCCTGCTCACAACCTCATTTATAAGCAGGAGCTCTAATATTTAAAGTTGATGATGAGAAAACAGTGTATGCTCACGTTACAAGGATTCTGGTCTTTATTTAAAACTAAATTATATTGAACGTAAACTGATTATCACTGAAAGTCAATCTTCCCTTCAGTGACACAGATCCACCACTAGATGGCAGCACGTCCTTTGATTCAACTCATCATTTCAAGTCAAAAGAGAAGTCATGTTAGAACAACTCAGTAATCTCAGACCAAATTAGTATTAAACGTGTCAAAGTTATAATTTTTGGTTCGGATCATATACACACAACAAAGTAGGAATTGTTTTTTTAATTGCTTTAATGAAGTGTTGGGTTTTATATAGTGATATAATCCTGGTGCAAAGATCCCTATTTTCCTCTTCCTTTCTTCGCCTACCTCACTTCCTTTCCTTTCCTCATCACCGATTGGCTCTTGGTTTTCTCACCCTCCACCCCTCATTCACCTGTTAGAGTTCACCTGGGCACTAGAAGATTATTTAGGGGCCTCACTCCACTCATTCACACTTTTTCACCTTCACATGGGGCGGCAGTTTCTGGTAAGAAGTTGTTACTCGTTAGTTCCTACAATTTATCTGTTAGTCTCAGAGAACCTTCTTTATCCTTATTTCTTTAATAAGAACATAATGAGACATACATATTTTGATTTGTTGTGTTAAATTTAATCTTTATTCTTTATTGTCCTCTCAGAACCCATAGTCCATATGTGTGTCTTCCTTGTTCATGTTGGAAATAATTATAACGGTAAAACCTTTGTTGGATTGGATGTATGTTTAACGGCCTTCATTCTTTCATCCTGACCCGATGCCCGTGGTGATAGTGAATCAATTCTGAACCTTCAACAAATCCAGTTTTGTCATGATTGAGTTTCTATGACAACATCGGCCAAAACAATCTTTATAAACTCAGCTGTATATTATTGTTTCCACAGTTTTTCAGTGTTTTGTATAAATTCAGTTAAAGCCAGGAAGTGTATTTCCCCATCTGCTGATGAGACCTGAGTTTAATACCTCATGACAGATGAATGTGATTTGCTCTTCCTGTTGTACTCTCACTTCCTGTCTTTCCTTTAACTAGAATTACCACTTTGTGGTTGTATGCCTCCACCACTAGTTTCAGATTACATCCCTGTTTATCCAGGATCTGTACCACTTTACAGTAAGGCTACCCCAATGAAGGATTAAAAAATATACAACTAGTTTATTAATTGGCTTCTTTACATTTTATAAATCATTTATAAGCTGTTTAGAACACATCAGATAAATAGGGCAACAGTGATCTATTGCTTGCCAAATAGTGAGCCCACAGTTATCTGTACTGTTGAGCCTCATATCTCATTACTTAGCCGTGTTTGTTTTCTCCATCCAGCATTTGTACCTGTGTGCTTTATCACATTTGTTGTTTGATGTTCTACAATTTACAATAAGGCTCCTTTTTACAGTTATAAATGGTAGTGACTCATGAGTAAGATTAATGAGTAGTAAACATCAACTTGATCTTGCCAAATAACGAGCCTGCACTAATGTATGAAAACTGTTATAAATTGTTTGTCTTAAGTGTTAACTGAATTAATAACCTAAATATAAACCATTCATAAATCCTTTATAAGGATGGTATTATTGTAAAGTTGTTCTCCAGAATCGTATAAAAAAATGAACCATTTGTGTGAAGTTTTATCATAATTGGAAAAGTCTTGAGTCACGGCTAAAAAGTGTTTTGTGCGGTCACACTAACCTTGACCTTTGACCATCAAATTCAAATCACTTCATCCTTGGATGTTTGTGTCGAGCATGAAGGGATTCTCCAAATAAATTATGTTCACAAGGCCAAAACCATTGATCTTTGACCTTTTGATTGACCTAATCAGTTCAATTCACTCAGTTAAAGGGTAATTTAACACCCACTGAAAGTCTTCAACTCCTCACCTTGCTGCAGTGATGTACATGTGAACTCCAGGTTTTCAGCTCCATTAAAAAAAATCTGAAAGTTTTAACTCTTTCCAGAAAGAATGGCTCATTTGTCATGAAAATCTAGATGTTTTAAGTGGTTTTCCAAGGATTTATTTATTTTTTTTTAATGTTCAGCAGGATCTAATTGTCGTGATAGCTACTCGCAGAGAGGTCTGTGGATTAAGTGAAATTATCCCTGTTGATTGAGCTTTTACCACTAAGGGCAAATAAGAAAACTGTCTTTTTGTCATTTGGATGCAAAGCAAATGGATGATGCAGAAATTGTGATCATGTTGATATCAATAAAAATCATAATTAACTAAAGTTGATGACTCTTTTTACTTTACATAGGGATGTACTGTTTGTGTGGGTGAGACCAAATATGAAGCATTATGAAACAGCAGCTTGGTAAGAGGATGGATGGTATTAGATAAAACAAACAGGAGTTTTCTTTAGCTATTATAATCCCTGTTTACAACCGTTGCTGTAAACAGCAGCTCTTTAGGTTCAATATAGACCAGATTACATATGATGTGGGCATTCACTGTCATTTCATCAAGGGTGAGCTGCAGCAAATGATCTTTTGTTTGCACAAAAAATAAACATCCAGATAGTAGAATAACTTAAAACTGTTCATGCATGTTGAATATAACAATATAAACCGTCAACACTCATTCTTTTTTTTTTATATTAAATATAACCTAGTGATCATCACTGAAAGTCAACTTTGTCAGGTGATTTCATATTGTCTTTTTCCTTCACTGACACAGATCCACCACTAGAGGGCAGCACAACCATGTTCCATTAAAAGCTGCTATGGGCTCTGAATCAAAGTCCTTATTTCAACAACTGTCAAACTGGTTTCTTCCTATTTGAAGCCAGTTGCAGCAAAATTACTTTTTCTCATTAGGATTTGATTGGACTTTGGAAATGGAGTGTTCAGTAAGTAGTGATACACTATCCCAGCTCTTTTGTTGTGGTCTCACAGCTCCACTTCATTGGGTTCTTCTGCCACTTTCACCTCTTGAAAGGCCAGACCGCTTCTTTCATGCCAAACAAAGACAGGAAGCATGCTGTGGTCCGCAGAATAATTTACCATCTTTTAAAGGAAAGGCAAGAATGAGAGTGCAACAGGAAGAGCAAATAATTCACATTCATCTGTCATGAGGTATTAACTTAGGTCTCGTCAGAGGATGGGGAAATACACTTTCTGGCTTTAACTAAATTTACCCAAAACTGTGGAAACAAAATAATATACAGCTGAGTTTATACAATGTTTTGGCTGTGGTCAGAGAAACTCAATCATGACAAAACTGGATTATATTAATGCCTGAAGTCCAACACTTCATTAAAGCCAATTGTCGTCAAACTAATTTATCCTTACGTAGGCCAGTCTGTACTTGTGTTTTGATTTTTTAAAATTATTTTCCCCCTATTGCCAAGGAGGTCATTTCTGAATCAGAAGTCTTGAGAGCCAAACAAAATGCCATTCTTCAGGAAAGCTTTAACGTCTGGTGAGTGATGGGAAATATGATTTATTTTCAGCTGCTACGTCACAGACGCTTTGTCTTTCTTTTCCTGTGACCCTCTCCCCAATAACATGTTTGTTTTCAGGTCTATATTTGTGTAGCCAAATGCTACCGGTGGGGGAAATCCTGTCTGACCTCTCGGCCTGTTCTGATGAAAACACTGGCACTTGGTGACGTCCAGGAGGCGGAATGTTAATTTTTCTTTAAACCTTATGTAATTCAGGACTCTAATCTCTGTTTGAACAGGCAATCCTCGGTACCTCACAGAAATACAGGGACGTAGCCTGGCAGCAGAGGCCTTGGTAGGACTCTCAGACATTCTTTACTATGAGAACACAGTATGCACACCAACGATGAATGCTGCATCACACTTGCGTGCTCACACACACAAACACACACAGATGGTTGCAGTTAGACTGTAATATTTTCGCTGAAGTTGGCCTTGGTGTTTCATGTCTGGAAAATCTGAGTCATGCTTGTTTGACAAATCATCTCTGATCTAACGTAGGCTTTGTTTAATCACCCTATAATGCATTAAAGCATGTTTGTAAGTGAAACAGATGCTCGGATAATTAACACACATCGTCATCACCGTACTCGTACATGAAGGTGCACTTACAGGATGATTAATTGTCTAGTACCCACTTGTTCTTTAACAAACATAACTTCTTTTCCTTAAGTTGAGTCATTCTTTTAGTGCCAAGTGTGTGGAGAGAATTTAGACCAGAGTAGATAACTCTGGAACTGATGTGTTGCAGCAGTGTTTTTTGCAGGACTGCATTAGTATTAGCTAGGTTTACCTACTGGGTGTTTAACATGAGCGCAAATGTATATTTCTCTATTTTCTTTTCCACAAAAGTGAAAAACAGTATTCATACTGGTGTATGGCACAAGCACTAGCCACAGCTCCTAAAGCACCGTCAGGGATCAGACACTGTTGAATACCACACGTAAAGAAAACTCCTAATTGAAGCCAATAATATGTTGCTGTTATCATTATTATTATTATTATTATTATTATTATTACTGGTCATGGCCACAAAGTTGCAAACAATAGGCCTAGCTAATATCAGCTTGCAAAGCTAATATTATTTTTGCCACACAAAAAACGTTGCTTTAGAAATTTTGTCTGGTTTTCCCATCCCTCAAAAAGAAACAATATAATTTAGGTAAAATAAAACTTTTGATTTTATTATTCAAGTACAGTTACCAGTATCCAGCCCCAGAAGTAGGCCAGGACAACATGTTAGTAATGAGGTGATAGAGCCAGGCTAGCCACTCTTTCCAGTCGTGCTAGGCTAAGCTA